GGATTTTTTATCTTCTGGGTATATACCTAATAGTGGAATTGTAGGATCAAATGGCAAGTCTATTTTTAGTTCTCTAAGAGTTCTCCAGATTTCTTTCCAAAAGGAACGTATTAAATTGCATTCCCACCAGCAGTGTAGAAGTGTTCCCTTTTCTCCACATCCACGCTGTCATTTTGATAGTAAGCAGTAAGCAAGCCTATACTTCTACCAGAGGGAAACATTGCTTCATCCTTCAAAGTTGCTCACCATAAATATAGCCCTGAGAAATAGCTTAGGTAGAGAACTTAGATCAAAGCCTTGCTTTCTTGATATTCACAGAGGGATAAGTAGGAACAGGAGAGATAGTCTCTAAACAGTGTAATCCATACAGATCAGCATCCAAGGGAGAGCAGTGTAGAGATCGTAGGGAATGATTTGGAGTGGCAGATGAAAGATTCTGGCCTTTGGGAATTCTTACTTGGATTAGAGTGAGATCAGTAATTCTGGCCTATAATCAGGGTACAGTATTCTTACTGTTCTTTCCCTCATGTTTTCATTATCAGAAGGAATAATCTATTCCCATAGGACGGTCTTTAGGGTTGCAATATTAGAAATTAGTTCTTGTTGACTTATTTATTCCTAAGATTAACTCATTAGAAGAGAAGCTTCCTCTTTGATTCAATTACTCTTTTAAAAAAAATTCATCAAATTGTAGCACTATCTAGAAAGAAACATCTTTTGTTTATACATGTGTGTTTGTTTGGTTGGCCAAAGGTTTTGCTCTGTTATTACAATGCTCAAAAATACACAAAAACCATGGTCATCTCTTGCTCTCTTTTCCATCTCTCCCCAATAGGGTGATTATAAATATAACTTGAAGGAATCTTTTACAGCATGTTAACTAGTATCTGTTTACTTTTAACATACATTGTCTAGCTATTTTGTCTTATCTGTCTTCTGGGGTATGTCTCCTTATATACTTCCTGCCTAGGACCTACCTGACCTTTGAACATTTGTGGAGTCAAGTAAACCTACCTTGCTGCATTCTGGGAGTAGAACAAAGATGAAGATCCAGAAATGTATTGTGCTTACTTAGGGGTGCTGCTAACGTTAAGAAAGATTTTTTTTTTCAAATAAGCACCTTTTTACATTTGATAACTCTATTGAATGCTTTCATGATTCTCCTTATATTAACTTATACATAAATTGCTGCCTTTATCTTAGGGAAATAAACTACTATAGGCAGAGTCCTTTGAGCATTGATTGCCTGCATCAAGGCCAGGTGTTGTTAAGTATTTCCAGCTGTGCATCCAGTGGCTCTTGTCTGTACTTAATGTTTTTTTTATATTAGGGTGGCAGGAATAAGTTAACCTGTCAGACAATACTGTCCATCTAAATAACAGCCAGTGCTTGTACAGCAGCTGGAATTCAAGGACTGAAAAAATTCCATGGACTGAGTAAACAGATGCATTCCTTTCATGAATTCTAGTTCTTAACTAACACCAATTAA